AAGGGTCCAGACCCGAAACGTCAGCTTTCCTGCTCCTCTGATGCTGCCTGGCCTGCTGTGTTCATCCAGCTCTACACCTTGTCTCTATCCAACGTCTCTTAACCTCTTTGCTCTGTGGAGAACAACTCCTAGTGTCTTCAATGTATCAAAGTAACAGTTTTCTTCAATCTCTCCAAAGTCTTCATGTCCTTCCTAAAGTGTGGTGCTCATAATTGGACAGGATACTGCAGGTGGAGTCAAAGAAATGGGATGAACCTTCCAAGGATAGGAAATCAAAGTCAGACTACCACTTCATTCCTTTTACCCACCCTGCCCCAGACTGCACTACACTGAAGAGAAAACCATGCACACTTTTTCTGTTGCAGTAACTAATCCAGGGATCAAAATGTTCTAAAGGCACTTTCACAAGCTGTGGAGAGAAGCTAAATGGGGGAGTTGAGAGGGTGTAGGAGCAGGTTGATAAGTGAATGGGTGTGGGATAGGGTGGTATGGTGGGTTTAGAGGGTAAGGTTTCAGCGAGGTTGGTAAAAAGGGGAAGCATAGGTTGAGGGAAATCCTGGGGAATTCATGTCAGGTCAGGTCAAAGGGATTTTGGGAAAGGTAAGGGTTGTCAGCTCAGAAGGGTTGTTGGGTCAGGGGATTTATCAGGGTCAGATTAAGGAAAGTATTGGGGGTGTGGAGTTGTTTTGTTAGGTTGAGGGTTATGTTAGGGGAGGGTCAGGTCAGGGAGATGTCGGGTCAGAGGACATCCGGGATTGCTGTTGGATCAGGTCAGGGAATGGCGAGTTGCGGGGCTCTTGGGTTTTGGATTGGAAGTGAGGGGTCATGTTGGAGGAATCAGGTCAAGGAAGGTGTTGAGATGGGTGGGTTACATCAGGTCAGTGTGGGATGGGAGAGTGAATCGGGTTGTCAGTTGAGAGTTGGGGACATCAGTTTTACAGTTACCCTGGAGGTGGAGCAGGTCTTAATTACTCAAAATTTTCCTGGATATCTATTCAGGTTAGTGAATCAGAATCTTCTGAAGTCTGTGACTGTAACTCAGAATTGTATATTTTTAAGAGGGTTCCGGACAGGGTAAGTAACCATTGGAAGTTTAAATCTCCCAGGCTATTTGCAGATGGTCAGTATGTCAGGACTTCAACATGTTCCCATAGTACATATGTGAGAGTAGATTATTGCAATGCCAGTTTTCCAATTAAAAGATATCAGTGAATATTTTAGAAAGGTTTAACATAACTTCTTGGCATTTGTACTCCATTTCCCTCTCTTTAATGCCCATAATTTCTCAGTTTTACTGATTTGTTAATCTGTCCTGAGACCTACAAAGATTTTTGCATCGAAATGTTCAGACCTCTCGGTGTTCACATTCCCTTTAAACATATATGATTTAAAAATTTACCATTTAGCTTGTACTGTTCTCATTCGTCTTACCAAAACTTAATACCTTGCTGTATTGAATTTCATCTGTCAAATGTTCACCAATTCCACTTGTCTCTTAATTTCTAGGAGATAGCAAGAAGTGCTGATGCTGGAAGTCAGAGTCAATACAGTGTGGAGATGGAGGAACACAGCAAGTCAGGCAGCATTGGAGGAACAGGAAAGTCGACGTTTTGTGTCGGGACCCTTCATCAAGAGGGGTCCCGACCCAAAACGGTGACTTTCCTGTTCCTCTGATGCTGCCTGACCTGATGTGTTCCTTTAGCTCCACACTATACAGCCTTTTAATGTCTATCATTATCTTCCTCACTGTTTACCATGCTTCTATGTTTCATACAACCTGAAAGTCAAAACTGTGCCCTATATCCCCAAACTGAAGGCGTTAATATATATCAAAACAGTAATAGTTCTAGTACTGAGCCCCAGGAAACACTAATGAGTTAATGTTAATGTTAATTAATTAGTGTTAATGAAGTATTGCCCCGAAATGCTTCCTTACCACCAATGTTAAACTACTTAGTCTGTAATTGTCAAGTTTATCCTTCTCCTTTTTCTTGGTCTCCTCCAGTTTCTTGGCACCAGCCCATTATCTAGGAAAGATTGGAAAAATATGACTAGCACCTCAACGATTTCTCCTGCTACTTCGCTCAGCATCCTGTGATACAGCCCAATAGGACTATGCACCTTGTCCAAGTTAAGTACTGCCAGCCTTTCTAGTACCTCTTCATCACTTATTTTTATGTCATTCAATGTCAGTGAATCAATTCTCATACTTCCTCCTTTCAACTCTTATTTTCTTTTTCATTTCTTCCTGTACTTTTGACATCCAGCCTGGTTTTTGTTTGTATTATGACAATTTTTTTTTTGCTGTGTCAACTCCCTACATCACAGAGGGAGCTCCAGCTTTGTTTGTCCTTCCTCAGCCCTGTGTGTATTTACATTGGAATATATTCCAAAATTTCATTTCATAGCCCTCATTCTGATGACGTGGCAATTTTACAAATTTGTATATGTATATGACTATTTCAGACCTGAGCTGGGTATGTTTAACTTTCTTCAGTATTAACACCTAAACATTATTATGGCTTCACGTTTCACAGTTAAATACCTTAGCTTTCAAATATATAAGGTGTTAGTTAGTAATGTAGCGCATCTGTAATGCAGCTTGAATCAATGGCTTAGATCTTTCTCATTTGATAAATATAACTTGGTCATTGGAAAATGTGAAGAACTTTTCCACAGCAAAAAAAAACACTACTCATTATGATTAACAGATTTTCCCCTCTTCTATCTGTGCAAAAATATGCTTATTAATCAGTGACTAAGTAAAAGCCCAGTTAAGACTATTGTTGTTCATTGAATTGATATCAAATATATTTCAATACAGATAAAACTTATAGTTCCAAATATAATCAAGTGGCAAATTTTCAAATACCTCAAGTTATTATGAATCTTGTTGGGAGTGTTTTCATATACATACAGAAAAGCTACAAATGTTAGGAAAGCAATGAAGGACCCCACTAAGTACTGGCCTTCTGATCAGCTTCTGTGTATCTACAACACTCTGTATGTAAGTTTTTGTTACAAGGTAATGCTTAATTACAATATTCTACAATGCATAGATTAAGACTGTTTTAAATCACGTCATTATTCCAATGTAGTTAGTCAGATGACTAGACAGTTTCCAAGAATTATTAAATATTTAGCAGAACTTAATATTTTGACTTGTTAGTTAGCATTCTAAAAACTGTGTTACATTTTCATTTTACATGTCTTTAATCTACAAATTCAGCCTAGGTCACAACATTAGGAAAAAAAATAGAATTTCTCAAAAAGTTCCTATTTCAAAACTGGATTGCTATTTTCTTTAAATGCTCCATGGTTGATATAACTTAATTTCTGATATGTTACATCTTAATAATGAGTCATAGCTAAACATACATTAATGTGAAATACATTCACTTACAAAATTAGTTGAAACTGATTCAAGAGGTTTTGTTTCAGGACATAGACAGTAGGAAATTTTGTTGCTGTTGAAAAGAGGAAGCAGATTTTATCAGTACTTAAATGGCAATCTCACTCACAGATCAACAGTGCTAACTTGAAAAGAGACTGGCTGTCTTCAATAATTGACACACTGACTGCACTCAGAGTGGAACCACCTTTAAAGTTTATATTCAGGTAGGGCGAACTTCCTTTCCAGAAAGGATACATTTCATTCTTATAAAATATTCCTTGGACTGAGTACTAATGTAAAAAAAAATACAAGTTATTTTTTAAGAGAAATATGATTGTAGTTTTAAAGTTATGATTAAGCAATGTGCTATAAATATGTAATGTAATGTAATGTAGATGTATTCATAAGGATTTTTCTTTAATGTGGCGCAGCATAGTAGACTCAGACTCAGGTTATAGAATGTGGAATCGGGCAACAATTAGCAGACTGCATAGGAAAGTGGTTGTGTAACAGAAAATAGGTTGGTGCAGTGATTAAGGGTAACTGTTCAGACTAACAAAGAGTCAGAATGATCACTTTATTCACAATATATGTTAATATTTAGAGTTGGGAGCTGGAAGTGTAATTTCAAGTTTTCAGAAAGCACAGAATAAGACTGAATTGCTACCACTGTGAAAAAAAAAGAGCCAGACAACTAGAATACATGTGTAGAATGACCATGCAATTGACAAGTTAACTTTAATATATGGGGTTCATTTCTAGATGCTTAGAATTTAAAAGCTGTAATATTTTCTTAAATGTAAAGTGTGGTTAGACCACAATGGATTATAAGCTGATCGAGATCTTAATATTTAGAGATAGGGAACATGTTTTCACTTGTTATGTATTCAAATCTAATGAGCATAAATATAAGGCAACGACAAATAAAGCCAGTAAGAAATTCAGGAAAATCTTCTTTACCAAAGAATGGTTAGAAGGTGAGGTGTGCTTCTACAACAAATGGTTGATGCAAACAGCGTAGATGCATTTAAGGGTCAGCCAGACCATTACATGACAGCGGACAGAAGATATGTTGAAAGAATTAGATAAAAAAAAGGAAACTCTTAAGTGCCAGCATAGAGAGTTGGACTAAATTAACCATTTCTGTGTGCTGGACTTAAAATTTGATACAATTGATTCAATTGTTGCATGTTACATGGTGTTAATGGCAACGATTCATTTTGGATAAATGTCTGATAACAAATATTCATATCAGACTTGTTTATTATGACATTTCTGTTTTGTATGAAAAGTGATGCTGAATAGAGAATTGATCAATGTATAGTTTGCAATGGGACTGAAAACAAAAAGGAAAATCAATAATAAAATACATCATAGAACAACATGATTTTTTTTTTCTTTGAGAAGCTCTTTTTCTGGTCTAGGCTAAATCCTGTATTAGAGCTAGATGTTTTGGGGTTCATGAGTTACAAACTACCAAAGTACACAATTGATAATTCATACATAATTTTAAGATAGTTTAAATGAATTAAGAAAAGGAGTTTAGATACAATGAATTAGCAAAGTAGTAGCAGATTACCCATGACATCCTTATTTCAGTGCTTGTTGCCTTTGACTGTGGCTGGCTGTGGTTGACAACATTTTAAAAACACCTCCCTTGTGATTGAGCTCCCAAGATCTCACTGCCAACATTTAAATTTGGGCTGGCAGAGGCCTGACAAACAACCCTTGCCTGCAACTGAGCAGAATGAGCAGCACTGGAAAGCTGTTGTTTTTGTTATCACTTTAATGCAGCTTCCATAGGTTTGTTGTATTTTAATTACAAATAGAAAATGCTGGTGAAACCCAGTAGGTCAAGCAGCATCTGTGAAGAGAGAAACAGAGTTAATGTTTTGAGTCCAATATGACTCTTTTTCAGAATAGTATTTTATAATTTATTTTATATCAACTTACCGTAGAATTAAGTTAGAGAATTACATTCAAATCGTGTTGCCAAGCAAATTTCCAGCCCTTACTACACTAGCTGAGCCAGCAGACCGAGCCAATACCACATTAAAATTGACGTTTTCAACAAGTGCATTGAATCATAGAATTTAAAGTTGGTCATTTTGTTCATTATATTTGTGATAGCTCTCCAACAGAAGCTGTTATTTCATTCACATTTCCTTCAGTTTCCCTTTAATCTTTCCATACTTCCTTTCCAAATCCGTAGGATTCAGTGCAGAATGTATAGCACTTGGCCCTATTCTGCCAAATCAGTAAAGTTCAGTGGTGATCTATACCAGCTCCATATCACTGTCTTTGCCCTGCATTCCATACTATATTCAAATGTATTCAAAAATCTATCAATATTAGATTTAAAATTTATAATTGACCAGTGTCTATTGCCATTTGAGGAAGACAGTGCAAACTTCAATCATCCTTTGGTTGTCGATGTGTTTCTTAACTTCATTTCAGGAAAGTCTGGCTCAAAATTTTAAGCTATGATTCTTGGTCTTAGAATTCCCTACTTTCAGTAAAGGTTTCTATTTAGCCTATGCTTCCTTAGTATCTTAAAACTTTGATCAAATCACATCTTAACCTTCCAGGGATTATAATACAAAGGTTTGTGTAAGTAACTTCATTACATTACTTAAATTTTGGATTCCAGCGATCAATAGGGTAAACCAACATTGCATTCTCTTTAAAGCAAATATGTCTTTCTTGAGGTATGTTGGTCACTGCTGCTCATAGTGCTCTTGATGTTATCTTAACCAAGGCTTCAGCTGACCACAGCATGACTTCTACTCCTTGTATTACAGCTCACCAGTTAGAAAACTCATTATTCCATTAGCTTTCAGGATTTTCTGTTCATGATATTTTAATTTTCTGTGCACACAGAGCACAAAGTCTCTTTGGAACTCTATTGTTTCTAGTTTTCACCATTTAGAAAGTAGCCTGTTCTATCTATTTCAGATAAAAAATGAATAAACTCGCATTTGACTGCACTAAAATCTATTTGCCAGTTTTGACAATTTGCTTGATTTACTAATATCTTTTTGTAATTTTATACATGCATCTAAATGGCTTAGCATGCTACCTAACTTTACATTATTGACAAACATGGACGCATGGTTTTCTATCCTCCTATGTACGATGTTATTTAAATATCTTTAACAGTGTGACCCTAACACAAATGTTCGTGGGACATTATCTGACTCACTTTCCTATTTAGTTACTCTGACAATCATGGTCTACTTAAGAGGGAAAGACAGCTTAAATGGAACACTATGGGATGTTAAAAGATTGTTTTAAAGTGCAGCATCCATACCAATGCACTGCCTTCAATCAGCAGTCAATGCTTACTAGATTTGAGTACCATTGATAAATTATACTTCAGCGAAGTTATTTATATATGTGAATGAATGGAATGCAAATAACACCATTCACATGTGAAAATGCGGCATATTGTTTGTTCATACTGAAAATCATTCTTAATGAACTGTACCAGGCAATACAATCAGAGAGTCATTGTTTTCCACTGTCTGTGATTCTGTGATGTCAACTTAATAATTTTTTCAAAATGTTTTGTTTTTAATGGTAAAGTAATTTATTTATAGGAATAATCATTAGAAAAGTTAAAAGCATTGCAGGAATCTCCCGTCGCAATTTCACTTCCTATTTTAAAGTATCAAGAAAGTATTGTGTAAACAAAATACGTGTTGTATTTTCTTAGTCTTTGTAGTGCATACTTAATTAAAAATAGCATTGTTGGTCAGTTGGAATGTATTATTTTTGATGAACTTTTTGTTTTGATGTAGAGTTGGTGCCACTTTCTTACTGTTGCTTAGAATGGAACTACTTGATTTTAATCTTCTCATGGAAAGTCCAAAAGTAAGATTCCTGCAATGCAGAATGATTATTAATTCTACGTGGGTCTCATGACCTCATGACTCATTCTCACATTTAATCCAAATGATGGGAAAGACCCACATTCTTTCATAACACTCCAGCTGTATTTATGTGTTTGTTTCTGATTTTGGGAAAAAAAGTGTAATATCATGTCAACATAAGTAAATTAGACTAAATGAAAGGAATGTTTTTTAATTAAAATTCTGCATTAATTGTAGTGCCAATCTCCTGCTTAGTAATAATGCTCATTTGAAGAGCTGATGGAGACAAGGTTGGCTGAATGGTCTTTTTCTGCACCGTAACACTTATGTGATTCTGTGATGTCAACAAATAGTCTAAATAAAAGGATTAAAAAAAATCAATTGACTATCTGCACTAATTTTAGTTAAGATTCAAAAATGGATTCATTGGATAAAATAAATAATCTATTAAATAACTCTACCTTTGACAAAGCCAAACTTCAATGAAAAGGTCACTGCCTGCATTGCTAAAGGAAATAATGTGTCAACCTTGTATTGGATTTTTGGGAATGTGTCTTGTCTGTAACACAAACAATAAATTTCAGTTAGTACAGTGTACAGTTTTGTTCACTCCATTATAGAAAGGAAACAGCATACTTGGGGAAAAAATCCAAGATAGCTTTTTTTTAATAAAGATAGAATTGTATTGACAGACTTGAAAAACAGGGACTGTTTTCACTGGAACAGACAAAGTTAAGGAAGACATGATTAAAGTATTCACAGTTTTGAAATGGTTTGAGAAGATAAGTAGTGCAAGATTATTTCAATGCTTGGTAAATCTGTGTCAGAAGATCATAATATACAGTCAGCACTAAAATTATGAAGGGGCACCTACGGAGAACTTCTGTCATGAAAGGAATTTTTAGAGTTTAGTATACACTATCACAAATGATTGTTGAAGCTGAGTCATCATGGTACTCAAAGGGAATTAGGTTAACATTTTATTAGGAAAAATATTAAAGCAGATGTGAAATGAGCTTAGACTAAGTGGATCTGATGTACAGTTATGCACATTATGAAGTGAATGGTCCCTTTTGTGCTAAAATTTCTACGATTACTCCTGAACCTGAAGGTTAAATTGCAGCTATAAATTCTTTACCCTGCTTTTTTCCCTGTATAGTGGGGAAGTGTGAGGAGCAGTGGGCAGGGGTAGACTATTTTGATTCTTGTTTGGAATGACTTTTTGATACAACCTATGCCCTTAACTCTCAAAGCAATTCACAAAAGGATATTATTAACACAAAACTCAAAAATATATTAGGGGAGCTTTCTGGTACTTGGGATGTTTGTAAGTTAATCTAGTTCACTTGTAA